CTGACAGGTGCGGCTAGACACTCATGGGAGCTACAGGAAGGAGGCATGGGCTTTTTTTTTTTTTTTTAAAGTTCCCCAGGTAATTCCAATGTGCAGCCAAGGTGAAGACCACTAACTGAAGTCTCAGCAGCAGCAAGGTATGCAAATAAAAATTAAGGCGAAGTTCAGTCAATAGGTTTCAAACATACCTTGACTTATTGCATAAAGGATTCTCAAGGCCTCATAAGACAGCAAAATATAAACTCTTCTTAGTACCAAGAGAAATATAAATTAGAATAGAATGCAATGACCAGGAAGGGATCATGTCCTTTGTAGTGGAGCTGAAAAGTGTGGTCAGAACATTGTGTGTTGGAGGGGAGACAGTTAATGGGCAGCTAAGAGGGAAAGGAAAAAAGCAATAGTTCTAATGTCCATGGTGGGAAAACTTACCAGTTTCCCTGGATAGTGTTATGTGTGTGTTTCCCCTAATAATTAACTGTAAAACAAATTTCTACTGGGGCTTCATTTGGGAAGGTTATTAGGAAGCAAACTCAACTGCCGTTGAGTCGATCCCGACTCATGGTGTGACCCCTCCTTGGGTTTCCGAGGCAGTATCTCTATGGAAGTAGATTGCCCAGTCTTCCTTCCGAGGAGTGGCGAGTGGGTTTGAACCTCCAGCCTTCTGGTTAGATACCTTAGGCACTATACCACCAGAACTCCAATTATAAAAATATACACCTATAAAATGTATAGTAATGGATTTCATAATCCTCATTTTAAAAATAACATTCCTGATGAAGGAAAAATAACAAAGTAACACTTGGTGGGAATAATTTTGCTGAATTTGGCAGCAAGACAATTACGGTAAAATACTCATTAGCCTTCTGTAGGCCTGCCTTTTTTACTTGGATTTAAGAACTAGACTGCATAGAGCAGGAATTTTATACCTGGATTTCTGGGACCCATTGGAAGAGTGATTCTCAGTCAGTAGTACACAGTTAAAAGAACTCCCCTCAAAGAACTTTTTGCCAATTTCTGTGGTGTAAATACTCCTCCCTGGGCACTTTCAAGCTACCAACAGTTGTCTGGCTGCAAAGTTCCTTATAGTTAATGATTAACTCTCATGAACAAGTAAGCACCAACTCCAGCATACCACTGTAAAGACAAACAAGTAAAAATTTATAACATCTTGTATATTAAATTTAGATTTATTCAGATTTTTTAAATCGAGGAGTACTTCCAGCATCATCTTTTGTTTGTTCATTTTAAAAGTTCTCCAGAGTTCTAATGTGCATCCATGTTGAGAGCCATCTCTATAGGGCATTGGAAAATGAGCTTCCATGAGTCTCAGAGCTCATAGACACACCTTATTGGCAGATACGTAACTTTGTATACAGTTTTCATTTATTCTAGGGAGAGAATCTCAGTAGAGTCTCAGATGTGTCCATGAACCTCTAAAATTTAGAAACCATTTATCTGAGAGAAAGTTTGGAACACAGCTCTTTAGGGGGCAGTGGTAGGCCATTGGTCTTTCCATGTGGGAGACCTGACTTTGCTTCTCAGCCAGTTTACCTCATGTACAGCCATGAAACCTACAAATTGCTATGCTACTGAATAGATTTCAGAGGAACTTCTGGACTAAAATGAACTAGGATAAACTGGTGATGAACTTCCGAAAATCAACATATGAAGCCCTATGGGTCACAGCAAACGATTATGGGGATGGTGAAAGACCAGGCCTTGTTTTGTTTTTTTGTGCATGGAGTTGCCCTGAGTCAGGGACTGACCAGACAAGTAACAATATAACAACAACAAATGACTCTTTATTAATATCATTTTCTCTGAAATGGTCTGTGTTAGGCTGGGTTCTTTAGAGAAGCAAAACCAGTAAAGCTTATATATACATATAGAGAAAGAGAATTTTATCTTAGAAAAATGGCTCACACACTTATAGAAGCTGGCAAGTCCCAAGTTCTTGGATCAAACGTCAAGCTGGAGGCTTTTCCCAACTCATGCAGCTGCAGGGGCTGAGGAGCTCAAGATTGGCAGGCAGTATCCTGGCTGTTGACTCCAATGAATGATGAATCCAAGATCTCCAGGCTGAATCATGTATTGTTCCCTCATGGACAGTTGTAGGCCACACAACAGGATCCTGATCCACAGAAGAATCTCTCTTTTCCCGGGATGTCCATAAATATGTTGGAAGCAGACCACACCCCAGGGAAACTCCCTTGTAATGGTTTGGCTGCTGAAACATGTACATCCGATCCCATCATGGGAATAACCCATATCACAACTGTTTAAACCACAAAGAATTGTGGTCCAGCCAAGTTGACACACAGCTCCAACTATCTCAGTCCATCCCTTGTCAACTTGGCAGTTGTACACATCTTCTTAACCCTCTATAATCTCTAAACAAGGACAACTATAAAGTCATATTCGCGCCTAACATGATATGCTGATATGCGTACAACTGAAACGCATTAACCTTGTTTACATTTCACAGTTCATAACAGAAGGAAACAAAAATATTTGATGCACATAAACAATGAAGAAATACACCAATCACAGTCCTCATTTCTGCAACTGGTCATGTAGTCATAGCTGATACTCAGAACTACCTTCTTCCACCACCCATTCTGTATTTCCCTTGCCCTCAGCAAGCACCTCATCTGGTCATGGTTCTTTGGCTGGTGGGGTGACCCAAACCTTCATTCCTGAAGGGTCTGGGCCATTAGCAGTCATATCAGAATTGCGTTGCTGTAATTTTCCATTGACTTTAATCACAGGGCATGGTAGTACTAAGAGATGTCCTAAAGATTCTTCTGTATTCCAGACATTTTCTTCTTTACCTCCATTAGGTAATGTTAATCCAATTTCCCCTTGGTAATCAGGAGCTCTGGTAGCATAGTGTCTAAGGCATTTGACTGCTAACCAGCAGGTTAGCAGTTCAAACCCACCAGCCACTCCTTTGAAGGAAGGTTGGGCAATCTACTTCCATAGTGATATCACCTCGGAAACCCAAGGAGGGTTAGCTATGAGTTGGATCTGACTCGATGGCACATAACAACAACAACAAAAACAATCAGGATCCTATCACACCAGATAGTGCAGAACACCCTTCATCTGTTGATCCAGAGGCATGAGGAAGCCAAAATGGCCTGGTGGCATTCTTAACTTCAGTTCAATGCAATCAGTATTGTGTCTCCAAGTGGGAGTGTGCCTCCCTTTGGGACTAAGATCTCCAGACCTGCAGAACATAGGGTAGAGTAGCAGGGACAGTGAGTGGGTCACTAGGGATAATAGTGGTACCACTTCCATTTCCACCCCTTGATTCCTGGACCCATGAATCCTGGCTTTTGGAGAAACAGCACCATATATTAGACACTGGTTTAGAGCATATACACAGCTTCCTGGAGAACATTGCCCCAGCCCTTCAAGGTATTGCCACTTAGCTGGCGCCGTAATTGTGTTTTCAGTAGGCCATTCCATCGTTCTATCAAGCCAGCTGCTTCTGGGTGATGGGGAACATGGTAAGACCAGTGAATTCCATGAGCATAGGCCCATTGCTGCACTTCTTTTGCTGTGAAGAGAGTCCCTTGATCTGAAGCAATGCTGTGTGGGATACCATGACAGTAGATAAGGCATTCTGTAAGTCCACAAATGGTAGTTTTGGCAGAAGCATTGCATGCAGGGAAGGTGAATCCATATCCGAAATAAGGATCTATTCCAGTAAGAACAAAACGCTGTCCTTTCCATGATGGAAGTGGTCCAATGTAATCAACCTGCCACCAGGTGGCTGGCTGATCATCCCGAGGAATGGTTCCATATCACGGACTCAGTGTTGGTCTCTGCTGCTGGCAGACTGGGCACTCAGCAGTAGCAGTAGCCAAATCAGCCTTGATAAGTGGAAGCCATGTTGCTGAGCCCATGCATAACCTCCATCCCTATCACATGGCCAGTTTGTTCATGAGCCCATTGAGCAATGACAGGAGTAGCTGGGGATAAAGGATGGCTGGTTTCTACTGAACGTGTCATCCTGTCCACCTGATTGTTAAAGTCGTCCTCTGCCAAGGTCAACTTTGGTGACATTCACATGAGACACAAATACCTTTACTCCTTTGATCCATTCAGAGAGATCTGTCCATATACCTCTTACCCATACATCCTTGTCACCAGTTTTCCAATCACGCTTCTTTCAAGACCCAGACCATCCGGCCAAGCCATTAGCTATAGCCCATGAATCCATATACAGTCATATATCTGGCCGTTTCTTGTTCCATGCAAAGTGAACAGCCAGATGTATGGCTTGAAGGTCTGCCCATTGGGAGGATTTGCCTTCACCACTGTCCTTCAAGGAAGTCCCAGAAAGGGGCTGTAGTGCCTTTGCTGTCCACTTTCGAGTGGTGCCTGCATATTGTGCAGAACCATCTGTAAACCAGGCATGAGTTTTCTCTTCCTCAGTCAACTGAGGAGCATAAGGAACTCCCCATGATGCCATAGGTGCAGACTGGGAGAGGGAAGGTAATGTGACTGGAATGGAGATCATAGGCATTTAGGCCACTTCCTCATGCAGTTTGCTTGTGCCTTCAGTTCCTGCTCGAGCCTGATCTCTGGTATACCACTTCCATTTAATGATGGAGTGCTGTTGTTCACGTCCAACTTTATGACTGTGTGGGTCAGACAGCACCCAGTTCATGACGAGCAGCTCAGGCCTCATGGTGACTTGGTGGCCCATGGTTAGGTGTTCTTTACTCCTTTGGTCCATTCAGAGAGATCTGTCCACATACACATTTAGTCTGTACTAAAGCCCAGTAACAAGCCAAAAGCTGTTTCTCAAAAAGAGTAGTTACCTGCAGAGGATGCCAGGGCTTTGCTCCAAAATCCCAAGGAGATCTGCATTGGGATTCACAAATAGGGACCTGCCAAAGACTCCAAACAACATGTGCATCTGCTAAAGACACTTTAAACACCATTGGATGAGCCAGATCATATGGCCCAAGTGGCAGAGCAGCTTGCATGGCAGCCTGAAGCTGTCGCAGAGCCTAGTGTTGTTCTGGGCCCCACTCAAAACTAGCAGCTTTCTGAGTCACTTAATAAATAGGCCGCAGCAACACACCCAAATGAGGGATATGTTGCTTCCAAAATTCAAAGAGGTCCAGCAGATGTTGTGCCTCCTTTTTAGTTGTGGGGGATGCCAGACAAAATAACTAACCCTTCACTTTAGTAGGAATATCTCAACATGCCCCACATCATTGAACCCCTAGAAATTTCACTGAGGTAGAAGGTGCCTGAATTTTTGTTGGGTTAATTTCCCACCCTCTAGCACCCAGATGTCTCACCAATAAGTCTAGAGTCATTCTTACTAAGTCCGATCAGTATAATGCCATCAATATAATGGACCAGTGTGATGTCTTGTGGAAAGGAAAGGTGATCAAGATCCCTACGGACTGAATTATGACATAGTACTGGAGAGTTGATAAACTCCTGAGGAAGCACTGTGAAAGTATATTGTTGGCCTTGCCAGCTGAAGGTAAACTGCTTCTGATGGTCCTTTGCAATTGGTATTGAGAAAAAGGCATTGGCCAGATCAATAGCTGCAGCATACCAAGTACCAGGAGATGTACTAATTTGCTCAGGCAGTGAAACCACATCAGGAACAACAGCTGCAATTGGAGTCACGACCTGATTTAAGTTTACGATAATCTACTGTCATTCTTCAAGATCCATCTGTTTTTTGCACAGGCCAAATAGGCGAATTAAATGGGGATGTGGTGAGAATCACCATCCCTGCATCCTTCAAGTCCTTGATGGTGGCAGTAATCTCTGCAACCCCTCCAGGGATGTGGTATTGCTTTTGGTTTACTATTTCTCTAGGTAGAGGCAGTTCTAATGGCTTCCACTTGGCTTTTCCTACAATAATAGCCCTTACTCCACATGTCAGGGACCCAATGTGGGAATTCTGCAAATTGCTCAGTATATCTATTCCAATTATGCATTCTGGGACTGGGGAAATCACTATAGGATAGGGTTGGTGACCCACTAGGCCCACTGTGAGATACACCTCAGCTAAGACTCCCATCAATAACTTGACTTGCATATGCCTGCACTCTGGTGGGCCACGATGATACTTTGGGTCTCCTGGAATTAGTTCAGAGCCAGTGTCCAGTAATCCCCGAAAAGCCTGATTATTTTGTTTTCCCTGATGAACAGTCACTCTTGTAAAAGGCCTCAGATCACTTTGGGGAAGGCTGAGAGAAAGACTGACATTACAAATTTTGGGCAATGTAGTAGAGTCCTTCCTCAAGGGGACCTGCCCTCCCCTTCATTCAAGAGTTTATGGGTCTATAAATTGACTATAGTCTGGGAATTGATTGAGAGGCCGTGACTCTTTACTCTGGTGATTCAATCTAGGCTGCTGTTCACATAACCTAGAATTCTTCTGTCTATATAGATCAAGTAAATATTTAGTAGGTTTGTCATGTGTTTCACTACTAGGAACACCATGACTAAGTAGCCAATGCTATAATTCCACACGAGTCAAAGTATTCTGATTACTCTTTAGACTCTGCTGTCTATTATGGTAACCTTGCCCACCTTGCCTTTGTCTATTAACTGCTGCCACTTGGCCCCTACTACCATGGGGTCCAGTCAGCCCCATTGTAGTTAAAAATCTTAGTTCAATTAGGGCAGTTCCCACTGTCAAATGTGGCTTACGTAAAATAGCAATCACAGCAGTCTTCAAGGACTCTGGGACTCCCTTCACTAATTTGTTCCTCATTCTGCTAGTGAAAGGCATGTCCTCTGGACTCTCCATTTCTGGCTTTAGGGGTCTAATCTGATAAATTCATTCTAACATGACAATTTCCCTAAGCCTCTGGATACCTTCTACATTATACCAAGGCAGGTCTGGTACATCAACTCAGCTTAAGGTAGGCCACCATATAATCCATGCTTCAGTAAGCCAACCAAATGAACAATTAGATCCTTTCCTAACCTCTGGATCTGAAACACTGAATGAAGAATCTGTACTTAGTAGGCCTAAGTCAATAAACTCAGACTGATCCAATGTTACATTACTTGCACCATTATCCCACAGCCTCAGTAGCCATTCCCATACATATTCTCCAGGTTTCTGTCTGTGTACGTTAGCAAAATCAAGCGGGTCTTTTCAGGTATGGCATACCACCTCCTCAGTCACACTTTGTATTTCACCTTTTGGGGCTTGCTTGGACTTGACTTTAGTCATAGGTCTAGCAGCCACAGTGGGTGGTTGGGGAAGTCCCTGAAAACATTCAGCAATGTCTTCCATGGTATCTACCTCAGGCAGTGACCCAGCAGGAACAGTTGGATTAATATCATCAAACTGAGGTGGAAGGGATAATAGTTTTATGGTAATCCTTTCAGAAGGAAGGTATTTAACAGAATTTACAGGTTCCATATCTTCATCTTCCTGATTATCTCCCCATATGTCCCCTTCCAGGTTTCAGGATTCCATTTTTTTCCCCAATCAGTGCCCTCACTTTAACTGCAGACACGATTCTGGGTTGGCAATTTAATTGGTGGTATAATTCAGCCACCCTTACAATAAGACTCTGGGTTTGGTTTTCAGCAATATCAGCTCCATTACTAGAAGAAATAAGGCTTTCTTTCAGAGCGTAGCTGGAAACTGAGGTCTTTTATGTGGCACTTGAGCTGTGACTCAGCAGCCCTGAACTCATCACTTTCACCACTTTGTTTAGTGTAAGTAGGACCGTAGGACCAACCAACCAGTTTCCTTATATTCCTTATGCTGACAGAATTCAGAAAGGTATCAAATATGAGATCACCCAAAGCCTCACTTCTCACAAGTACTTGTTCTCTTGGTGCTATTTTGCATATTAATGTTGCCACCTCACGCCATGGATTAGCAGTGCCTTCTTTACTAATGGAGACAGAGTCACCAGTGCCTTTATAATTAATCAAATTGGAGAACCGAAAGAGAATTGGTGAGAACCAATTTAGAAGCCCATCCTTATGATTTTGTCTCTCTAGAACCACACTGCTCTTGATACCAAATGTGTTAGGCTGGGTTCTCTAGAAAAGCAAAACCAGTAAAGCTTATATGCACATACAGAGAAAGGGAAATTTATCTTAGGAAAATGGCTCACACACTTATAGGAGGTGGCAGGTCCCAAGTTCTTGGATCAAACATCAGGCTGGGGACTTTTCCTGACTCATGCAGCTGCCAGGGCTGATGAGCTTAAGGTTGGCAGGCAATATACCCAGCTTTTGACTCCCAATGAATGACGAATCCAAGATCTCCAAGCCAGATGGTGGACTGTTCACTCATGGCCAGTTGTAGGCTGTACAACAGGATCCTGATCTACAGAAGAATGTTTCTTTTCCATAAATATATATCCATAAATATATTGGAAGCAGGCCATACCCCTAGGGAAACTCCCTTTCAGTGGATTGGCTGCTCAAAACATAAATCCAATTCCATCATGGGAATAACCCACGTTAGAACTGCTTAAACCACAAAGAATTGTGGTCCAGTTCTAACTATCACATGGTCTTTTGATGAAAATCAAGCAGTTCAGAGTTTGGGGTGCCAGCAGATACTGGTCACATAGGTGCTCTCTCTGTTGTTATTTAAGGCCAGGTGCATCACTTTCCATTCAGTTGAGCAGAAGGTGAATTTGCATATTAATGTTGCTACCTCACACCATGGATTAGCAGCACCTTCTTTACTAATGGAAGTAGAGTCACCAGTGCCTTTATGATTAATCAAATTGGAGACCTGAAAGAGAATTGTGGATCTTGTTGTGGACATCAAGTAGCTCACAAATTAACCAAAGCTCTGAATGGATAGCCACCTACCTTTTTGAATGAGTTGTCTCAGCTGTTTCTTAAAACAGGTGTCATTGAAGGGTTATAAGAAGTCTAATTAGGTTTGCCTTCAGAAAGTTCCTTCTGAGAGTATCAGGGGGAATTGAGAACAGAGTGAGGAGGAAAGGAGCCAGAGTCCAGTGGGGAGGTTTAAAATACATTTTTGAAGAATAAATGCTATGTAAATTGAAGTATCATTTGACATGATTCTAGTCTTACTACTGTTCTTTTATTCACCAGATATTTTCCTGTATCCAGGCAATGCTGGTTAATACATTGGTAAATGAGCCACTCACAGAGCTTTTCTATGTAGTTGGCTGTTAGGAAACAAAATTCAGTAGATGCCTAAGAATAAGATACAAGATGATTTCCTAGGATAAATGATTCTTGGATAGAATTACAGAAAAATTCTCTTTGTTGGAAAGAAATAAAACTAATTCTGTTGGTCTCGGGCCCAGATTTTGGGTGAGACCATATCTACAAGGTCTGTCTTATATATGGTAGCCAAGTTTAAACAGAATTCAAGTGAAACTTTTATTATTCCGAACTTGTGTTAGAGAGGTAGGAGGTCATTATGTTAGTAAGGCTGAACTGATCTCTAACAATTCAGTGCTGAATGGAAGACTATTCCTCTCCAATTAAATCATGGTGGTCATGGCATTATATGTGTGTGTGTATACATATATATACACTTTTTTTTTTTTTTTTTAAACAGGTGGTAACAAACAGGGATACACAAGAAACCCTCCTCTGCATGGCTTGTGTATTTGAAGTTTCAAATAGTGAACATGGAGCACAACATCATATTTACAGGCTTGTAAAGGACTGAACATGGTTATTTATATATATAGATATCTGTATATACACACACATGCACACACACACGTGCACACACACACTCCATTATCGAACGACTGACTGTAAACCTCACCACATAGGGGTGGTGCCCTAGCCCCGAGGTCACCCCAACTTTTCTAAATCCTGTTTGAGTGAAGTCATTTTTTCATGTGTTCATGCTCCCATTGTAGCTGTGAAGTTCTGGTACAGTTGTAAAAAGTGAAATAGAGGTGTTTCTGTGTGTCCTTGAGATCTGCAGCCCACAGTTCCTCGGGAAAGGGGAACCTTAAGAACCCAAGGTCTTCAGAGACCTGTGTCTAATTGTGGTAGAAAACATCGAGACAGAGCATTTGCCATGGGACATTTACAGCCTTTATACAAATGTATTTAGTTCTTTTTGTCCAATATAAAATTCTTGTTTTAAGATACAAGTAAAATTAATCTTTAAATATAAATGTAAATGAGTACACAAAACTAAGAATCTTTAGACTTATCTTTGTAACTAATTAGGGTGGAAGTTATGAAAGAATGTAATTCACTAAATTATTTTTTAAATGAAACTTTTCTTTCTTTTTTGAAACCAAATGTTAAAATATAGCCTTAAGAAATGCTTGGTAGAAATATCCTAATGAAACAAATTTGTATTTTTTTTTCCCCCTCAAAGTTAAAACTAATCTCCTAATCCATTTAACTCTTGAACAGGTATTACAAAGAAAGAAAACGTCACCCCTTATTCTTAACATATATAGTATATTTAAAAATATAAAATTATATTGTACTAATGCGATCTGATTATTTAATGAAGAAGGACAGATGGCTCTTTTTGCAATAAGTAGATAAATATCAAAAATTTAACTTACAATGTTTATAGTCTTGTGTGTGCAGTTATATTTTATATGGACTACAAAATTTTTTTATTAAAATGAGTAAATATTTGAACCACTAAAATTTAATAACAGAATTTAAAATTGGCATGAATACTGCACTCTGAGCTGCAAAGTATAGAAAGTCCTGTGGCTGGGAGAAAATTTCATCAACCAAACAAGTAAAAGGCTCATCCGTTTTAGCATCTCTGCTCCCCAGAAAATTGCTAGCATCCTCACCAGCCTGTGGGTAATGTCTTTTTTTTTTCCTGATGATCCAGTGTACATGTTAACCTGTTAAAACTAGTATATGTATGTGTATGTATGTGTATGTATGTGTATACATATGTACACGTGGACATATATAGTTACTCAACACGTATTTATTGAATGTCTAGTTAGCATCACTCATTTTGCTAGGTGCTGATCTGTGTGTATGTCTCAGTCTGTATCCATAGATCTAGATCCATCATCTCTAAGGACATCCATTTACTTGACATCTCTCAGTAAGTCACAGTACTTATTTGACTTAGGTTGAAAGAGGCCAAGATATCTATCTCTGACCTTTGCAAATAGGCTTATTTGGGAGGATCTCTTCCCTGGAGAGATTCAACTTTCTAATCCAAGTACTCCAAAGCATCACCCAGGCAGCGATGGTTTGATGTGGCCACATGTCTTCAGTTATTTCTGTAAGTGCTTCATTGGGAAGAGGACAAGAGGGTACCCCCCAACTTCCCAAAGGAAACGATTTTTTTATGATTATTATGAATAGGTTAAAATGAGAGAATATGAAATAGGTTTTGTAAGCTGTGATCATGGTCAAGATTATTTTCATCAAGCTAGAATATAAACACTTCTACCACATCCACATAACTCACACAGTCCCTTTTCCATCTCGGCATCTGCTCCGACTCTGCCTGTACATTTGATCAAAATCTGGTGGTTGTGAACATAAATAAAGCATATGGTTGGCCTGTGGCAAACAGAAAAACACTCTGGACCAAGGCTGACCACTCCCAAATGCATACCACCTGTCATTGGGAAGACCCTCTTTCAGAATGCGTATCCCGTGCATAAACGAGGAGGACAATATTTATCTTCCCTCCATAAAGAGACTTCCATTTGTTTTCTGATTGCAGCCAGCCTTTGAGGATTGTCCTGGTTGTCTGCCTTATCATCTGGTATTCATCCCAGGCATCTAAGCCTTTCACTTCTGTGGTGACCCCATTTGCAGTGATACCTATTGGACGTACCATGTAGGAATGTTTCTTTTGCTCATGTTTCCTGCATGTTTCCTCAAGGGACCCACCCACCAGTCTCTTACAGCCAGGCCTATCAAAAGGATGCAAACTGTCTTACGTGGCTCAAACCCAGGCCATCCCAAGACCTCAGAGGGAGAGACATCTGGTCCATACTCCCACCCAGAAATGGGGCTTTTCTGTGCTGCCAGGAGGGCTCTTGGGATTCACTTTTCAAAGTACAGAAAGACTGGGACCCAAGTTGACCGTCTAGAGGGCAGCACTGTTGGCTGCAGAGAAGGGCGTACCCAGCTCTACTGAACTTACTGGGTCGAGCTGACTGTCTTCATTGCCAGTGCCCACTTTCTCCTTACACCTTTGTAGTTGAGTTTCAGGGGTTTATGGAATTGAGTTTGAGGGTTACTTTTTGCACTTCAAAATTTGAGATGGTTTATTGTTTATTTCTTACCCTGTTCTTCTAGAAGTTTCTGTAGGACAGATATTTTCCCTAAATTCTTGGGCCTCTCTTTGGTCCTTCCCCTTATGAACAGAGTCTTTTCCGCTGTTTTTAAAGCTTTCCGGACCTAAATGAAGCCTTTCCAAAGCCCTATCCTCCCTGTTTGCTTTCAGGTGCTCTATCTCCTGGTGACTCTCCAATACCAGGTTTGTTTCAGGGACATCTTATGCTTTCATTGGAGAGTTTGGAGGCATATTTTCCACAGCTGAAACTGGGAGGAACTGAAGAACAGGGCTGTGGTCTGTTGGCATTCATTTCTGGCTTCAGGAGAGGCCTAACGTAAAATCGAAACTGTCCTGGAAAGACACAATGTCCGAGCTACTCTAGAAGACCATGGTTTCTCAGCTTCGACACTATTGACATTCTAGACTAGATCATTCTTGTTGTGAGGGGCCATCCTGTGCATATTAGGATGTTTAGCAGTATCCGTGGCTTCTGCCACCAGATGCCAGTAACAGCTCCCTCCACTCCAGTTGTGACAACCCAAAATGTCTCCAGACGTTGCCAAATGTCTGCCAGGGAGTAGTATTGCTCCCACTGACAACCACTGCCCTAGACCTTACAGGCCACAATGACTGTATTTGAGATTTCTTTTTCTCTCCATTTCACCCTGCCAAAGATGCTCATCTTCTTCCTGCAAGGCCTCAGGTCATCAGGAGACAGGTGGCAATATTAATTGAATGGCATTGTGTTTGTGTGTCTTCCTGTTGCATAACTTCTGTCGTATGCAGTCTGCGTCTCTCTCTAACTCGTTTCACTCAGGAAAGCATTCACTGGGGAAGCTGGACACAGCTGGTCACCATCAGCCCTATAATCAAACTGCACCAATTTAAAGAGTGCTTCTGATTTGATCTTCAGCCCTTAGTTTATCAAGATTTTTTTTTTTTTTTTTTTAAAAAAAAAGCTGTTTTCATAAATTCATAGGTCTCATTGTCAAATCTTTCATTGTTTTGGTAAATTATCTCTAGGCTGCTTCTCCTTTCTGCCTTGCAGTCAGTACTGTTTGTAGCATTAACTGAAGCTTTTGGAACATTTCTTTTCACCTTTAAGGATAGATGACAGAGGGGTCAGCTAAAAGAGAGCACAGTCTCCTCCCCTTCCGTTTGTAGGTGAGAAAGCTGAGGCCAGCGGGAAGCTGACTTGCCCAGAGTCAGCCAGGTGGTTAGTGAGGCAGGAGGACTTCTGCCACTGAATGCATGGGTCCACGTGGGGCAGTTTTCCTCTTCAGTGCTCTGTGCCTAAATGATCCCTCGGTGTGTGGACGGGTCAATTCAGAAGACAGAGGGAGATGAGGACTTCCCTTCTGCTCAAGCAACACTGTCACCCTGATGCTCCTGCTCCCCACTGGTGTATCCTGTCTGCCTGTCACTGTCTGGGGCCATTCACAGCAGTTATGAAAAGCTGATGAGTCTTTTTGTCTACTCTTGAGGACTATTCACCCGCCACAGGCTCTGAGTCAAATTTCTGTTTGCTAAGCATCCCAGCAGCAAAGTCCCGTACTCAGACCAGCCAGAAAGCAGCACCCCCGTTCTGGGCACTTGGTGTTACAAGTCCCCAGATGACTTTTAAATCCAAATCTTCTGTAGGGTTCAATCCTGTAGTGGCTTTAGCAGTTTGTTTTGTACAGCCCTAAATGCTTGGAATCATACGACATGATGGTCACTTTGACAAGCCAAGTACAGATAATTTGTACAATTTTTTATATGCTCTGGTACACTCCACCTATCCTAACGAATGGTAGAGCCAGTTCTGCTTGTTGGTGTTCACACCTGTGACATTAGGAGGATGTGTCTGCATTGCTGATTTCTTTGTGTTGATGTTTCTGTGGCAAAGCCCTGCACATGTCATTTCTGAAAAGCCTTAAATCTCTGAGATGTTGCATGTAGGGTGTGCAATGCAAAAGGCTGCCTCAGAACTGTGAGCCCTTTTGTAAGCTGGAAGCATTTCTCTTACTACTGTGACTTTTTTAGGAAGTTTTAAATTCAGAGCTGCCAAAGTGTTCCAGTAAGCAGTGCCTTAGAGATACCTTAGTCATGCCGCCAGCCTTTTCTTATACCTGTTCTCCGTGTTCATTTGCTAATTGGCCCAGTATGTGAAACAGGAAGGAAAAAAAAAATCGTTTTCATTTTTGTTTGGTGAGCCCATTTTTCTCCAGTTCTTTAGGAAATTACTTGGTCTACAATTCGAAACTGGATACCGGTCGGTTCTTTGACCACGCTCGCAAATGTACATACCAAAACTGAAAGGTTGCAACTTCGTAGTTTACTATGAAAAGCAAATTGTCCTTTTAATGTTGCCTTTGAAATTCATGACCAAATACTTAGCTATTTGTGAATCTTCTGCACTCTAGCATGAAAGTGCCTTTGGTTTGAGA